CTGACAGCAATGTTGCGGACTTAGTGAATCTTTCTTCGGAAATTTTACTGTCCACATGCAACAAACTTAATGTGTACGCACACTCTTGCGAAATACAAATGCGAAAGCTCTCTTCATTCCGAGCGAGAATAGAAAAAGAGAATACAATCTTTCGAGATACCGTGTCGCTTTCAATCTAGCGAAGGGTCGAGAGAATGTTTGAATTAAAAAATCGGCCCGCTCTTTAAGCATTTCATATGCATAATTTAAGACACAAATGTGCACCATTTGAGGGGAAATTGGCGAGGAGGTAGAAGTCAAATAGTATAGTTTGGTGGAAGGTATCGAATAGAAATATGTCTTAAAGCTCGTTAAAATGGACAATGCGTTTGTAACAAACACATATCGTTTAAAATATACGATTGTTAGAGGAATTTACTATGGTAGCAAAAAATGGATGTTTCAGTCTTTAGAGATCAGAAAGCACAGATCATTGGTTGCAGAATTGGCAAGGATCATGGTTTTAAAACCAAAGTAATAGTCGAATAGTAGGAAAAGCCTGGCAAGTGTTTGTTTGATTCTTGAAAACTTAAAAAATCACTAATGGAAAAAACGAACTGACATGAACGTATGGTGTGTGTATTACTAACACATATCGTTTAAAATATACGTTTGTTACTGGGAATATTCTATGGTAACAAAATGTCCAGTGAGTGTTTCAGTCTTTAGAGATCAGAAAGCAAAGAACATTGGCAGCAAAATTTTGCAATCCATATAGGAGACACTGTGAGAATGAGTAGCACTGTTCACTTTCACTACTGTAAGAAGACCGTATTGTCGGATACCAACGGTACAAATGTCTTCGTCAAATGTATGTACGTTTGCGAAGGAATCGTTTAGCATTTTGATTGAAAATTTTCAGTTGGAAAACAAATGGCATGTCAGTGGACTGCGGCAAAGAGCATTGGGAAAGACCACGGTTTTAAAACCGAAGTAATAGTCGAATAATAGAATGGTCGGAAAAGCTTGGCAAATAATAGTTTTATTCTTGGAAACCTGAAAAATCAATAATGCAA